GCTAACCCAGACACCACAAAGGGTGTTGATTGATACAGACAGCAGGACGGTGGTCATGGAAGTCGAAATCCGCTAAGGAGTGTGTAACAACTCACCTACCGAATCAATCAGCCCCGAAAATGGATGGCGCTGAAGCGCGCGACCTATGCTCGGTCGTCACGGCGATTATGACGCCGCGACGAGTAGGAGGGCGCGGGGCCAGCTGCGAAGCCTGGAGCGTGAGCCTAGGTGAAGCGGGTCCCGGTGCAGATCTTGGTGGTAGTAGCAAATATTCAAATGAGAACTTTGAAGACCGAAGTGGAGAAGGGTTCCATGTGAACAGCGCTTGGACATGGGTCAGTCGGCCGTAAGAGATGTGGAAACCTTGTATCAAGGGTGCACTGCGCGCCGCACATCAAAAGGGGGTCGGGTTAATATTCCCGAACTGGGTTGTGGAGGTGGACGGTAACGTAAGCAGCTCCGGAGATGCCGGCGGGGGCCGTGGGGAGGGTTCTCTTTCCTTCTTGACGCCTCGCCCACCCTGGAATCGGATCCACCGGAGATAGGGTGCAGCGCCCGGGAAAGCACCGCGCATCCTGTGGTGTCCAGCGCGCCCCCGACGACCCTTGAAAATCTGGAGTTGCGGGTACCTCTCTCGCCCGACCGTACTCATAACCGCATCAGGTCTCCTAGGTGAGCAGCCTCTAGTCAAAGGAAGAATGTAGGTAAGGGAAGTCGACAATATGGATCCGTAACCTTGGGAAAAGGATTGGCTCTTAGTACTGGGCCTAGGGGTCTGCGCCTCGATGTCGTTCGCTGCCGGTGGTCTGCCCGAGCTGCTCTCGCGGCGAGGGCGGAGCCTGCGTGCCAGTGTGCCGACGGGCGTAGAATGTCTTATGTCCCCACCTTTCGGGTGGGRCCGTGGGACTCTCCCTAAGCATCAAACTGCCGACTCAGAACTGGTGCGGACAAGGGGAATCCGACCTCTATAATTAAAACAAAGCATTGCGATGGTCCTAACAGATGTTGACGCAATGTGATTTCTGCCCAGTGCTCTGAATGTCAAAGTGAAGAGATTCAACCAAGCGCGGGTAAACGGCGGGAGTAACTATGACTCTCTTAAGGTAGCCAAATGCCTCGTCATCTAATTCGTGACGCACATGAATGGATTAACGAGATTCCCACTGTCCCTATCTACCATCCTGCGAAACCACAGCCAAGGGAACGGACTTGGAAGAATCGGTAGGGAAAGAAGACCCTGTTGAGCTTGACTCTAGTTCGACTCTGTGAAATGACGTGAGAGGTGTAGAATAAGTGGGAGCCTTACGAAGCAAGTGAAATACCACTACTTTTAACGTTATTTTACTTATTTCGTGAGGTGGAGTCGGGGCTCTGCCCCTGCTTCTCGATCCAAGGTGCAGCCCTCGTGGCCTGTCCGATCCAAGCGAAAGACATTGTCAGGTGGGGAGTTTGGTTGGAGTGGCGCATCAGTTAGAAGATAACGCAGGTGTCCTAAGATGAGCTCAACGAGAACAGAAATCTCGTGTGGAGCAAAGGGGCAAAAACTCATTTGATTTTCATTTCCAGTACGAATATTACCGCTCATGCAACCATTGCAAATATCAGAGACTATTGGGCCCTCTCGGGGCAAACGACGTTGGCGCTTGACTGCTAAGGGGGGAGCGAGGAGATCACTTCAAGCCTCGCAGATGGACCGCGCCTGTCCTCCGTTCTTGTGACCGGGTGCACTACATGCCTCCCGACAAGAACGCTTCACAGAACGCGGTTCCCCCTAGCTCCGCTTGAGGTCGACCTCTGCCGCCGGCAGCTCTGCCCTAGGACATAGATGATACCCCTTCCCCTTCCCCTTCCCCTTTCCCCACCCCTCTCCCCTTCTTCTGTGTGGGACGCCGGGCCCGTTTCCCGGCAGGTTATGCTCCCCACCAATAGACCGGAGCCGTGTTGTTTACAAAAAAAAAAAAAAAAAA